TAAATTCTAGATCTATTTTTAGACTATATGGAAATGTGTCTAATTTTGTGTAATGAATGAATTAAAAATATCATTTCGAAAATCACACGAAACATTCTGTAGCACTCGAAGGTAAAATACAGAACTTCTTTTATATTTTTCAGAAGAGTCGAACGTTTTATCAACAATAACTTGTTGTAGAGAAACCTTAGTTTTTTTCTTAGTTCATTGATAACACTATAAAAAGAAAGTAGAAACATCTGTATAAGAAAAAATTAATCATTCTTCAATACCATCATCCACAACAAACTTTTCGTAACATCATCATTATCATCAAGTGATATACTTCTTTCAACGGTTAAAAATAAGTGACGATCGTCTTTTATTAGAATTAACTGAAGTCCTTGAAAAATGTATGTATAATGCATATGAATAAGTAGCACTGTCACTTCCGCCAATTACCTTAAGTAATTGTTAACTTTTCTGTTTTAATTTAATAAACTTATTTTTATCACACTGTTAAATTCGTTTTTATTATAAATAAATCTACATGTCTTCAATGGTCTAATCGTTTCATATTTTAATTATCTTAACCGCTATATGAAGTAATCGATATAAATCATCAATACAAAATTTTCCTTTAGATGATTAATTTAACCAAACGCATCAAGAAATTATTTGAAGGGTATGATCTACCAATGGATGGTAAGTTACATAAGATTCAAAATATAATAAAAACGAAATAAGAGTCATTTATCACCATTTTTGCAAGAAATATACTTGATTTTGAGTGACAATTACCACTAATTCTAGTCTTTATCCAAAATAAGAAACATCAGATATGCGTATTCGAATGAAAAGATCGATCAACTTCTACTTCAGAAATGTATCGTTAACAATTAATAAAATTGTAGTTTTTTTAGTACATGGTCAACTCATATGCAATCAATGTACTGTTTTTAATACGACAGAAAAAGATGATTGGTTGAAGCATGTACGAAAATATCATTACTCGGAATTCGTCCGTTTAGTCCGGGAGAGAGAAGGTTGTCAAAAGGCTCTTAATGTTCAACCACTTGCCAATATATCAGATAATGAAGTAATAGAATTGCTTAAAAAACTTTAATAAAAAAGTGTTTGGATATTTTTTGTATCGTTTAGGATGATGATGATGATGATGGTGATGAAACTGCTCATAGTGGTACACCACGTTTTGAATTTGATGCTTTAACAGCTAGTACAGATTCACGTCGTCTTGCTTCTCAACGACGATTTCAGCCAGGTCATCCAGCATCAGGTACAATTCCACGTGATTTTATTTCTCAACAATTGGAACGAAATCGTCATGCAACAGCAAGCACATATCCAGGTGATTTTATTCCTCAACAACAATTGCAGTTTGGTAATACAACAGCTGATCCACTTCAACAATCTCAAGTTCGTGATAAGACTATCGAGAAAGTTGGGAAATGTTTTTAATTTGTGAATGTTTTCTTCCTGAGTTTATGAGACTTTCTTCTCTTTCTGAATAAAACCTAGCGAAAGCTATGCTTTTTTTGAACTGAACAAGTNGCGAAAACCGCAAGTCGCACTATCTTTTTCCTCGACCATGTAAAAGAATGCGTGAAAACGACCTGCTTTCTAAGTGAAATTTCAATTTAGATCTTTGATATAGATCGAGATACTTGAGATCTATAATTCTAAATACAATTCAAACAGTTCGCAAACATTCTAAAATAGTCTATATGGTTGTGATGATACTGTTTCTTTTAGCTTGTATCAGAGATATCCATCGCAACTGAAAACGTGCTATGATACACATATATACCTTGTGTACATCTAAAAGTTTCAAGATAGCATAATTGTTTTTTAACACTCATCATGAAGCAATACTACTTACTTCAATTTTGTTTTAACAAGTTCACACTAACCTTCATCGAGAAAGTATAAAAACATCAGTTGAAAAAAATGGGAAAAAACTTTTCGAATATTTCCTCAGAATACATAAAAGGAATAATACCAGATGTCTCAAAATGTTTGCACACTTATTATTTTGCATGTATCTCAGCATGGATAAATGACAGAATCTTGAATTTTCTTTCAAAAGATGTGTCATGAAAAGCTCTACAAAAAAATGCCGGAACAAGTTCCTATTAACATGTTCTGATGATTTTTCCTTATACTCAAAATGAAACACACATTTTAGTGCTACTTTCTCGTATCTTTAGCATAAAAAAAATAAGGTTGAAAGACCTTTTTTATATTGAAATAAGAATTTGTTTATACAACTTTTGTAGATCTTTCAACGCCGCATATTTTGAAAAAAAAAACAAGGTGATATCGTTTTTTGTAGCCAAGATACATGCAAAATAAAAAAGTTTTTCAAACATGTTTATCATATTAAATACGGCGAGAAGTAGCATTACCATGTAACATTTTTTATTTCGAGTATGGAAAAACTATCAGAATAAGTCAATGGAGATTTGTTTTTACAGTTTTTGTAGAGCTTTTCATCGAGCATCTTTGGAAAAGAAAACCAAGATTTTATCGTTTGTCTATGCAGAGATATTCGCAAAACAAACTATGTTGTACACATTTTGGAACATCTGGTAGCAACGTCATAAGAGACCATCACTTTTAATCATCTAGAAAAGCCATCAAAGCAAGTCGATATAGATTTGTTCGTACAGCTTTTGTAGAACTTTCGACCGAACATCTTTTGAAAAAAAATCAAGATTCTATCATTTGTCCATGTTGAGATATAAACAAAATAAAAAGTGTGCAAGCACTTTGGGATACCCGGTATATATTCAAAGAAGACTAACTATCTGAAGATCAACATTGTTTATTAAGTTATAAATGATTACTAAATTTTGACCATAGTGTATTTATTTGGTATATTAAAAATTTATATACCAAAATACCTGTTTTTAATTAAATTCTAGATCTATTTTTAGACTATATGGAAATGTGTCTAATTTTGTGTAATGAATGAATTAAAAATATCATTTTGAAAACCACACGAAACAGTCTGTAGCACTCGAAGGTAAAATACAAAACTTCTTTGATATTTTTCAGAAGAGCCGAACGTTTTATCAACAATAACTTGTTGTAGAGAAACCTTACAGTTTTTTTTCTTAGTCCATTGATAACAATATCAAAAAAAAGTGGAAACATCTGTATCAGAAAAAATTAATCATTCTTCAATACCATCTACAACAAAATTTTTCATACCATCATTATTATCATCAAGTGATATACTTCTTTCAACGGTTAAAAATAAGTGATGATTGTCTTTTATTAGAATTAACTAAAGTCCTTGAAAAATGGGTACTTCTTCAAAATAGTCACACCCCATCACAGAAGAGAGGAAAGGAAAAAAATTGATTGGTGATAAAGACTCATGTACGAAAAAGAAAGATATATAGATGACTTTGTAGTGTGAAGATGTGATCGTTCGAATAAGCATGACTCGTTATCGTCAATAGTTTTTTTTTCCTTTTCTCTCGCTTATGATAGGGTGTGACTATTCTGAAGAAGCACCGAAAAATGTATGTATAATACATATGAACAAGCAGCACTATCACTTCTGCCAATTACCTTAAGTTATTGTTAACTTTTATTTTTTAATTTAATAAACCTATTTTTATCACACTGTTAAATTCGTTTTTATTATAAATAAATCTACAGGTATTCATGGCCTAATCGTTTCATATTTCAATTATCTTAACCGCTATATGAAGTAATCGATATAAATCATCAATATGAACTTTTCATTTAGATGATTAATTTAACTAAACGCATCAAGAAATTATTTGAAGGGTATGAGCTACCAATGGATGGTAAGTTACATAAGGTTCAAAATATAATAAAAACGAAAGAAAAGTCATTTATCACCATTTTTCCAAGAAATATACTTGATTTTGAGTGACAATTACCACTAATTCTAGTCTTTATCTAAAATAAGAAACATCAGATACGCCTATTCGAATGAAAAGATCAATCAACTTCTACTTCAGTCATGTATCGTTAACAATTAATAAAATTGTAGCTTTTTTTTTTAGAACATAACCAACTCACATGCAATCAATGTACTGTTTTTAATACGACAGAAAGAGATGAGTGGTTGAAGCATGTACGAAAATATCATTACTCGGAATTCGTCCGTTTAGTCCAAGAGAGAGAAGGTTGTCAAAAAGCTCTTACTGATGAACCACTTGCCAATATATCAGATAATGAAGTAATATAATTGCTTAACAAACTTTAATAAAAAGGTGTTTGAATATTTTTTTTGTATCGTTTAGGATGATGATGATAAAACTGCTAATACTGATACACCACGTTTTGAATTTGATGCTTTAACAGCTAGTGCAGATTTAGGTCGTTCTGCTCCTCAACGACGATTTCAACTAGGTCCTCCAGCATCGGGTACAAATCAATATGATTTTATTCCTCAACAATTGGAACAAAATCGTGCAACAACAAGTACAACTCCACGTGATTTTATTCCTCAACGTCAATTTCAACCAAATTGTCCACCATCTAATATAAATCAATATTGTTTTATTTCTCAACAACAATTTCAACCAAATCGTGCTACAACAGGTACAATTCCACGTGATTATATTTTTCAACAACAATTTCAACCAGGTCCTCCAGCATTTAGTACAAATCAATATGATTTTATTCCTCAACAATTGAAACAAAATCGTGCAATGACAAGTACAACTCCACATGGTTTTATTCCTCAACAACAATTTCAACCAAATCGTGCTACAACAGGTACAATTTCACGTGATTTTATTTCTCAACAATTGGAACAAAATCGTCACACAACAACAAGCACGTTTCCAGGTGATTTTCCTCCTCAACAACAATTGCAGTTTGATAATACAACAACTGATCCACTTCAACAAGCTAAAATTCGTGATAAGACTATTGAGAAAGTTGGAAAATATTTTTAATTTATGAATGTTTTCTCGCTGAGTTTATGAGACTTTCTTCTCTTTCTGAATCAAACCTAGCGAAAGCTATGCTTTTCTTTTTGAACTGAACAAGTTCAACTACATAGGTTTTTTTAGAAAAGAAAAATTTCATTATCTGAATGTTTTTTCCTCGTCATTAGACAATGCATAATAGAAAAGAAAATTGTTAATAAAAATATGATCATCATTGACCTGTCGTGTCATTATACATATTGACTGAAATAGACTAGACGAATCAAAAGTGAATTAATAAAGGTGATTCGTGTTGTTATTACGTAGAAACATCAATCACATCTCTTAATTTACATTGTTGAATTCGTCTAGTCTGTTTCGGATCATATTCTATTCTATAAATATCACCATCTTCTTTTGACATTTCTCATTGTTATCGTGAAGCATTTATATATCTAACTATACCGTCTAGGAAATAAGTCGAATATGTCAGAGAAAGAGGTAGTTATTGATCAAGCAATAGGTTTTATATTTGTCATCTTAACTAATTATATATATATATTTTTTTTTATAGGTTCCACAAACTGAACGGGAAGTACAAGGAATCAAACTTGTGAATGATTGGCTAGCACATCTCATTACTGATGAANTTTAATTTGTGAATGTTTTCTTCCTGAGTTTATGAGACTTTCTTCTCTTTCTGAATAAAACCTAGCGAAAGCTATGCTTTTTTTGAACTGAACAAGTTCAACTACATAGGTTTTTTTTAGAAAAGAGAAATTTCATTATCTAAATGTTTTTTCCTCGTCATTAGACAATGTATAATAGAAAAGAAAATTGTTAATAAAAATATGATCATCATTGACCTGTCGTGTCATTATACATATTGACTGAAACAGAATAGACGAATCAAAAGTGAATTAATAAAGGTGATTAGTGTTCTTATTACGTAGAAACATCAATCACATCTCTTAATTCACATTGTTGAATTCGTCTAGTCTGTTTCAGATCATATTCTATTCTATAAATATCACTGTCTTCTTTTGATATTTCTCATTGTTATCGTGAAGCATTTATATATTTAACTATACAGTCCAGGAGATAAGTCGAATATGTCAGAAAAAGAGGTAGTTATTGATCAAGCAATAGGTTTTATATTTGCCATCTTAAGTACTTATATATATTTTTTTTATAGGTTTCACAAACTGAACGGAAAGCACAAGTGATGAAACTTGTGAATGATTGGCTAGCAAATCTCACTACCAATGAAAAATATATGAATACTATGGCCCAACTTGTTTTTAAATGACAATAACAAACATAAACTGATAAATTTTTGTCTATGTTGAATGCCATTGTCAAAACTTAAAATTTTTCTTTCCTTTTCTCATTCACTATCATACTCAGATGTTTTTTTTTCTTTCGTTATGCTTAAATATAACTTTTCGTATTGATCATCATGTAAACTTTTATTTATCTTTGGTTATTATAAAAAATTTTTCATCTTATTTCCGATGTCATCTATTATTACTCATCCATGAATAGTCGTGATCGATTCATCTATCTCAGTTTCATGTGGTGAAAAATCTTCATCACCTATTACCATTAATGATTCATATTCTTGACTTGAAAATTCTGATTCTCAAGGAACAACTCAATTTGTTCCAGATCAAAATGTAGTTAGTCAAATTTATTTAGATAAGATTTTTTATCGAACAACATTTTTTTGAACAACAACTTAAAGAAATATTTAATATTTCAAGATATTCATGTCCATCAAAACAACCAAATGAAAATATTATTATTTTACAAATATATGTCTTCAAAATCAAGATACTTATTATGAATTAGATACATCATCAAAATCGATTGATCAAGCATAAATTGTAATTGATGAAAGCTAAGGACTGTAAGAACAAGAAGAATGACTTCAGTGTTTGCATTCTCATTTTTTACGCGAAACAGTAAATGAATAGCTATGATTTCTATACATGATTAGTATCTATTACTTCTTCTCGTTTTTACTCAACATAGGTCATTCATTGTGGGTGTGGGTGTGAATATGAATAGAGGAAAGACACACCCACATCCCCACCCATCCACCTACACCCCCAAGTTGGAGACTGCCCATGTCGCCACTTTTTTAACAACTGCGTCGCAGTTACGCGTAGCTGCGTCGCAATTTTCCGCAATTACGGGTCACAGTGTGATCGCAGTTACGCGTAACCGCGTTGCAGTTTGATCGCAGTCGAACATATGGGTGCTGTGAGTGTGGGTGTAGATAAAGAGAACACCCACT